GCAACTAGAGAAAGCCTGCCCTACGCAACAAAGAACCAGTGCAGCAAAAAAAAAGAGGGCCTACCCTGCTGACCTTATCTTCTCCTGGTCATCTGAACAGACCCAATTTACAAATAAGGTCATGTTCAAGGTTACAGGTAGGACTTCAACATTTTGGTGGGAGGCAGGGATCCAATTCAATTCATAACAGGAAGCTTTCATAACAGATAGCTTTGGCTGAAGTCTATCCTGGAACAAGGTGTGGCTTAAGAAGCTGGAATTTAGACTTTCTTGTGAAATCTCCTGATTTTTAAATATCAGCACCTAGTTAAATATAAGTAAACTGTTTCTAGGGGCTTCCTAGGTAAAGAACCCACCTGCCAACACAGGAGAGGTAAGAGACACGAATTTGCTCCCTGGATGAGGCAGATCCCCTGGAGGAGGGCATGGGAACCCACTCCAGCCTTCTTGCCTGGAGAATCCCATAGTCAGAGGAACCTGTGGGGCTACGGTCCATAGGGTCACAAAAAGTCGGACACCACTGAAGCGACTTAGCTCATGCACAAACTATTTCTAAAACCATGACTGCCAAAAGCAAGTCAGCTTCTAGACCACTGTCTCCACAGGGTTCTCTCTAAAAGTCTGATCCCATCCTTCCCCTTAACCCCGGGTGTATGGCCAAGGTCCCTAGCCTGGCACACGGGCTCTCGTCAGTCCACTCTTTCCCGTCTCTCCAGGATCTTTTCCTGCCATTGTTCTTTGCTGTGCCCCCACCCACCGTACCGCCACATCAAAAGACCTGCCCTTTTCCAAACACGCTTGCTGTTCTACACCTCTGGGACTCTCTGTCCTCCCTCTGCTCATGCCTTCTCTCCTCCAGGCCACCGGAAAACTCCTGGCCGTCTTTCAAGTGCTCTGTCATTGCCACCCACCCCCACTTCCCCAGTAAAATCTTCCCTGTTCATCCCCAAGGAGTTAACCTCTTCCTTCTGTAAGCCTCCACTGCACCCTACATTTCTCTAGCACAGCACTTGACATTTGATTTGCTATTATTTGATTACCCGTTTGCCTCCTGTCTGGACCACGAACTCTTTGAGGGTAGGGACTGCTGATCTGGATCACCTTGCACAGATCCCAGCCCGATGCAAGTACTCAGTAAGTAAGGAGTAAATGAACAGTCTGCACAGCCAGTCAGTATCACGGGGACCCGAAGAAACACCATGTGGAGTCCCTGCCTTAAAGGTCCTTAGAGTCCAGCTGGGTTCATACGGTACACACCAAAGAAAGGGCAAACCATCCCGGTGGTATTGACAACTGGCAGAAGAGGCTACTGGGGCCTATTGTTACTGTTGCTGTTCAGTTGCTGAGTCATGTGACCCCACGGACTGCATCACTCCAGGCTTCCCTGTCCTTCACCATCTCCCGGAGCTTGCTCATACTCATGTCCGTAGAGTTGGTGATGCCATCCAACCATCTCATCCTCTGTCGTCTTCTCCTCCTGCCTTCAATCTTTCCCAGCATCAGGATCTTTTTTAATGAGTCAGCTCTTCACATTAGGTGGCCAAAGTTTGGAGCTTCAGCTTCAGTCCTTCCAAAGAATATTCAGGGTTGATATCCTTAAGGTTGATTATGGTGGCTCATTACAAGAAGAGAGAGTGGGGTAAGGAGAAGAAAGTAGGAGAACCCAGGGAAACAAAGCTGCAGAAAGAGGAGGGGTAGAGGTACAAAAAAGAGGACCTGGGACCCACACTTGTGCCACAACCCTCTCCTGAATCAATTTTCCCTGCCTCAGTATGTTTCCAGGCTGCAATTCATTCCACCTTAAACCCTCTGATGACTCCTTCCAGAATCCCCTATTTCTCTGCCCACCCCACAACAATGCTCTCCAAAAAGGATGTCTTTGTTGCTGTCTCCTCTTAGCCTTTTCTCTTCAAACCCTCCTCATGCAAATTCGTGTTCCACCTCTGTCTACAGACACTGTTCTTGCCAAGATCACCAATGACATCTACATTACCACACCCAAGGGGCAACTCCACTTTCTCATCATCCTTGCCACAGTTGACCTTGGGGATTTCATGAGTCACACAGTCACTCCTGGGCTTTCCAGGTGGCACTAGTGGTAAAGAACCCATCTGCCAATGCAGGGAGACATAAGAGACATGGGTTCAGTCCCTGGGTTGGGAAGATCCCCTGGAGGAGAGAGCATGGCAACCCATTTCAGTATTCTTGCCTGGAGAATCCCATGGACAGATGAGCCTGGAGAGCTATAGTCCACAGCGTAGCAAAGAGTGGGACACAACCGAAGCCACTTAGCATACACACACACACACACACACACACACACACACACACACACACAGAGTCACTCTTGAACCCCATCACTGCTTTTTTCCCTCTTTTTTAGGTAGACAAGTCACCATTTATTTGTCTGAGATGATTTGCAAACACAATCTGTTCCAAAAACAAAGGACAGGTGTGCTACAGTTAAAAACCAATCTGGGGATTTCCCTCTTGGTTAAGTGGTTAAGACTAGATCCCATACGCAGCAACTAAGACCCAGCACAACCAAAAAAAAAAAAAAAACCAATCTGAACTTTGCAGGTGGATTTTAAAAGGTGATCATTTAGTATATAAATTGCTTACCATATTCTTTTGAATCTAAGATACATTTTAAAAATTACCATCTTTGGAATAGAATGTGTCAGTTGATATCAGAGTTTAATTGGTACCAGTTTTTCTTTCTTGGTATTACATAAAATAATGGTGCATTCTGCAGTTGACATATTTGATGATGTATGGTACTAGATTGATGGAATGTCTAATAGCAGGATTTTGTTAAATAGAATTGTCTTCTACTGTATTTTTTTTACAATTTTTTATTCTGTTAAAATACACATGACATAAAATTTACCATCTTACCCATTTTAAGTGTACAGTTCAGTGGTACTAACTACATGTATTTGGAATTCCCTAGCGGTCCAGTGTTTAGGACCAAGTGTTTAGAGCCACTGCCATGGCTCTGGGTTCAATCCCTGGTCAGGGAACTAAGAACCTGCAAGCCTTGTGGCACAGCCAATAAATAAATAAATACACGTATATTGCTGTGCAAGCATTGGCCCTATTTGTTTCTGTTGTTTAAATGCTAAGTTGTGTCCAACTCTTTTGTGGACTGTAGCCACAAAAGCTACAGTAGCTTTTTTTTGTGGACTGTAGCCCATCAGGCTCCTCTGTCCATGGGAATTTCCAGGCAAGAACACTGGAGAGGGTTGCTGTTTCCTCCTGCAGGGGATCTTCTCCCCCCAGGGACCAAACCTGCATCTCCTGCATTGCAGGCAGGTTTTTACCACGGAGCCACCTGGGAAGCCCTCATCAGCACCATCCATGCATGCCCAAAACTCTTGTACATCTGAAACCCTACCCCTGTTAAACAATAACTCTCTCCTCTCCCCCAGCCCCTGGCAACCATCATTCTATTTTCTGTTTCTGTGATTTTGACTACCCGGTACCTCACATGAGCAAAATCATACACTACTTGTCTTTTTGTGGCTGCATGATTTCACTGAGCATAATGTCCTCAAGGCTCATCCCTGTTGTAGCATATGTCAGCAATTACTTCCTTTTTAAGGAGGGGTTAAATATTCCATTGCAACATTTTGTTTATCCACTCATCCACTGATGGACATTTGGATTGCTTCCACCTTTTGGCTATTGTGAATAATGGTGCTACGGACACTTGTGTACAAATATCCCTGCATTAAAAAAATAAAAACTAAAGTAAATCCCCAAAAGCATAAAGAAGAAAATAACAGTTACTCATATTTCCCATCACCTAGAATTAACAATCATTTACATTTTGACATTTGTTTCCAGTGTTTTATGACTGTGCAGTTTAAAATTCATGAGAAGAGTTGACTCATTGGAAAAGACCCTGATGCTGGGAGGGATTGGGGGCAGGAGGAGAAGGGGACAACAGAGGATGAGATGGCTGGATGGCATCACCAACATGAGTTTGAGTAAAGTCCAGGAGTTGGTGATGGACAGGGAGGCCTGGCGTGCTGCCATTCATGGGGTCGCAGAGAGTCGGACATGACTGAGTGACTGACTGAACTGAACTAAAGGTAGAATGCAGTGTCACTTTTTTTTTAAGAAAAAATTAGGAGTTACAAAGAAAGTTGAGGTTCCTGTTCACCTCTACTTACTCTCCCAACTCCCTGTCCCTCCTCCCCAGAGAAAGCCACGCTTGAGCTGTGAGTGTATTCTGCAGTCCTTTCATTAAAAAAAATATTTTCTTACATCTGTTTGAAGATAACATAGAAAATCCACAGTTCTAATATGTTGCAAAAACTGCATTATGCACATTATTCTATAACTTTGTTTTTATTTAATAGATTTTGAGCTCTATCCATGTCTCTGCATGTATAGATCTAAGTTATTCCTTCTAACTGCAATATTGTTACTCATTATGAATACGGGTCCTATTTTATTTGTACTTTCCCTATTGATGGCCATTGAGCTGTTTCACTGGTTTCTTATTGGGTATGATCCTGCAATGGACAGCCTTCTTGAATACATGTGCAAGTATTTCTCTAGGGTAGAAACCAAGAAAGAGAATTTTCAGGGCACAGGGCATGAATATTTTCAATTTTACAAGATAAGAACAAATCGAGAGAATGGATTTCCCCACAACCTCACCAGTCCTTGATATGGTCTGTTTTTATTCCTTCTCTGCATTTTTTTAAATGAGAAGAATGAAATCTGGGGTTGTACTGCTTTCTCGAAATCACCGAGCAGGTTAAGGACAGGGCCAAGACTAGACCCCACTTCAACTGGCACCGGAGGCACACTTTTTGCACCACTTTGTATTGCCCCTTGTCAGCTCTCCATGGAAAAATCCAGAAAAGACCCCAGTGTAAGGAGGGTGGGGAAGTCGGGGGGCAGGATGACTAAAATTCTCAACATGGTGATTATACCGCGACTAGAAATGATTGCACATCCTCCCAGAAAATGGCTTCGCCCCGCAGATCCGCGCTCCCACCAGAAGCAGTTGCAACCTGCGGCTTTCAGAGCTGCACCCAGGGTGGTGATTGGTTCTTATTCGGCCGACACAGGGTGGGACCAGAAATGGCGTCTCCAGCAGCTGATTTTCCAGGGCAGCGGCTCTGTTCTGGGAGGAGGGGGCGGCCGAGCCTCGCTGGGCGTGGGGGTGCCCCCGTGGCCGACCTGCATTCGAGCTGGACCGCAGCATCCAGCACCAGCCCTGGCGACACCTCCCAGCCCCTTGCAGCACCTCCAGCCGGCGCCCGGAGGGGCTGGAACGGGGAGAGAGCGGCACGACGGAGATTTCCCGCGGACCTCCCAGCCGCGCCCACCCGGGCTGCTCCGAAAGGGTTCATCCCGGACACAGGCAGCCGCCGCCCGCCGTTAGCTTTGCGGGAGACGAGAAAGGCTGGACCGCCACTTCTCTCTTCCCAGTCTCCTCCGATCACGGTGTCAGCTCCGCAGCAGGGACCTCCAGGGAGGGCGACGACTAAACTCTGCCTGGGCCCCTCCGAGTGGAGTCCGGTGAAGCTGGGTGAGGCCCCAGACCCCAAGCCTTTCCTAAGGGCCAGTCCTGGCGTGGGGTTGTGTCTCCCCACGAGCTGGTGGCCTGGTTTCCTTTTTCCTCCCCAAGGCAGGAAAGAGCAGTGGGACAATTTGAGGAAAAGAACAAAGCTGGCACCGCCCAGGTCACTTCAAGAGCCTGGAAGGCTCCCTTTCTCTCCCAGTTGGGATTACTTGGGGAGCTGGCATTTTTTTTCCCCTTTAAAATTTTCTTCTTAGCTACCACCGTTTGAGACCTTGTTACGTGCCAAGCACTGTACTAAGTGTATTAGCTTATTTCCTCCCCATGCCAACTCTTAGGACAGGATCAAAGGGGATGAGGAATTTCCCCAGGGTCACACCTATCGAGGGGCAACACTGGGATTAGAAATTTCCTCCAGATTCTGTGTTTTTATTTATTTTTATTTAAAAAAGTAATTATTTGCTCACTTTTGATGATCTTACACAGATCCTTTTGGGGAAAAAAAATGAGAACACTGCAAACATCACCGTACTCTTTACTGAGTGGGAGGAATGAACAGGGCACTCTGTTGCTGGTGAGAGTAGAAACAGGTAACACTTTTCGGGAAAGCAGTTTGGCCATTTGAATGGAGAGCTTTAAAAACTGTCCACACCCTTTAGTGAAGAAATGGTCACCCTCTATAGACAGCCATAGCTATCAAGATGTAAAATACATATTCCCTGGGACCCAGCAATTCCACCCAAAGGTACAGATGGATGCAGTAACACATGGACAAAATGGCATATATGTGAGGACATCATTACTGCACTGCTCGAATAGCAACAGATGGGAGACATCTAAAAATGTACCAATAGAATTGATTCGGTTAACCATGGCACACCCATTTAGGGCAATTCTGTGCACCATTTCTAGAAAATAAGGCAGTTTTCTATTTTACATGTGGAACAATCATCAAGAAATTTTAAGTGAAAAGAGAAAAAAGTATATGATGTGCTACTGTTTTTATATGAAAAAAGAATATATATACATACATGTACATAATATGTTTTTTTTTCCCTAAGAAAGATACACAAATAGACAGGTGATATTCTTGCTTGTAAGAAGGAAACCCACATCTGAGGGACACATTTTTTTTTCCATTGTGTAATCTTTTAGTACTTTTGGAATTTTGTATCATGTGCACATATTAGCAATTCAAAATTCAACTTAAAAAAAAAAACAGATTCAGCAAAATTCCTATTTCTAGACCCAGTAATTCTCCTTCTGAGAATCTTGCTTAAGGAAATTATCAGATTTCAGATAAAGATTAATGCAAAAAGATATTCACTGAGGTGTTATCATAGTGAAAAAATGTAGGCAACTTAGAAGTCCAACAATGGAGAAAAGAAAATTATGGTGTGTACATATAATATTATCATGTAATCATAAAAAGGATGTCTACAAAAATATCTTAGTGACATAGGAAGAAGCTTATACTGCTAAGTGTTTTTTTTTAAAGCCAGGTAGAAAATTATCTATGCAATATGCTCTGATATCTGTAACAATAGCAGGCATAGACAATAATTGCCAAAAAGTGAACAGTCAGGACTGCTGTGTGGAGGGAGTGTAAGTGATTTTGTTCCCCCCAGATAGCTTTTTATACCTTTCCACTTTTTTGTAATGGGCATCTATGCCTTGAGTGGTCTTTAAAAAACAAAACAAAAATTTAAGAATAAAACCTCATAGTACTTAGAAAAATTAAAGACATATTCAGTAACCCACAAATACTACTTCTAGAAATAAACCCTGCATAAATAGATGAACAAGTTTGCAAAGTGTTAATATTAACCACAAAAGATGGTAAACAACTCAAGTGTCTATGGAAGGAGATGACTTCAACAAGTACAGAACATCCATCCTGCAGAATATTACGTAGCAATTATGGAGAATGGGGTAGGTAAACCAACAAGCAAAAAATCTGCAGAGTAACATATCGTAGCAGGGAAAGCAACTTGCAGAACATGGATGCAATGACTGCATTTAAGCTCAAGAAAGAAAAGCTGAAGCTCTGTGTGTTTGGACATTAATGTATGAAGGACATTAAATTGTTAACAATAGCTCTCTCTGGCAAAGGGAACACACTAAAAGAATATCTTTACATTTGACTCGACGTATGTCTGTGGTATTTGCATCTTTTATAAATGTGTTCTCATATCATTTGTGTGATTATAAAACAGCAATAACATAGGAGGAAAAGTATAAGTGTAGAGAAAGATCTGAAAAGATACACAACAAAATGATCAGTAGTTTCCAGCAGGGATGAGGGACTGGGATTTAAGGTGATGGGTCATTTTCTCAGTTTACTCTATATACAGTGAGTTTTTTCCTGTAATTACGCCCACATGTGAACTACCTTCATAATTATAGCAGCAACATCAAAAGCCTGCCTGTTTGGCAGTAGCCTCTGTATTTTCCCAGCTCTGTTCTTCCTCCACGCTAAGGCTCTGTTTTCAGATGACCACCTTGCTGACATGCAACGCCCAGGAGCCCAAAGCCCGGGATGACACCAGGACCTCAGCCTCGTTTCTCCTCTTACCAGAGAGGAGGAACCTGAGATGCTGAGCCACAGCCTTCTGGCAGCTCAGCTGGGAAAGGGGACTCGGGCAACCTGGATCCCAGGCCCCTTCTCTCCCACCTTCAGTTTCCAGAGATAACCCACAGGAGCCGGGCGAGGGAGGACAGGGCTTGAAGCCACAAATTAATGATATCAGTGTAGCATCAAATGCGGGAACAATAAACCCCATCATTTACCGAGTTGCCTCTGGGCTCAGCTTCAAGCTCCCTTCCCAGACAATGGCTGGTCAGAGCCCCTGCCAGGTTTTCCGGAGAGACCGCGACAGAGCACGGGGCCAAATTGGCCTCTGGTGGCCAGCACTCTGGGATTCACCTCCAGTGACTTATCACCTCCAAGGCGGGAGCTGGGGAACCCTCCCGGGGGCCAGGAGCTCAGCGCCGGAAGATCTGTTTGCTCCAAAAGCTGAGCAGGGCAGCGGGAGGGCGCTGGCCTGGAAGCAGAAAATCGAGGCTTGGGGCGCCAGCACTGCCGCGTCTCCCTTTGTGACCCTGGCAACTCACCAGATCCTGGGAGTCTCGGACGTTGGGGGGCAGACAGGAGCCTCTGTATCTGGGGGAGAAAGGGCGGTGCCGAGCCCCTCCCCCACCAGGGCTGTCTCAGTCCTGGATGAAGGCGAAGCTGCTGTTCCCGCTTCCCGCGCAGCTGCTGCCTGTCTGTCTCCATGGCAACCAGGCCAAAAGACTGATTTGCCAGTGTCCAGGCTCTAGAGCTCACCTCGAGGCTGGGTTTTCGTGTGTCTTTCTGGAAGCCGGTCCATTGCCACTCCCAGGTGCCTCCAACAGCATCCTCTAGCCATTGCGTGGGAGGCACCCTGGGCCAGCTAGAAAGAGCGCACCACTTATCCTTTATAAACCTCATCCCTTTGGAGAGAGGAAACGCAGCCTTAGGCCTAATGGCCTTGTAATCGCTGGTGATTGGTCTTTCAAAGGCCCGAGGTCCCTGTCCTTAGTTGCCCTGGGCTGCTAGTAGGGATTCGCAACAACAGATGGCTTAGGGGGCCAGGTCACTTGCACCGAGGTACCCCCATCTTCAGTTCAGTTCAGTCGCTCAGTTCAGTCTGAGTCTTTGCGACCCCCTGGACTGCAGCATGCCAGGCCACCCTGTCCATCACCAACTCCCGGAGTTTACTCAAACTCATGTCCATTGAGTCGGTGATGCCATCCAACCATCTCATCCTCTGCCATCCCCTTCTCCTGCCTTCAATCTTTCCCAGTATCAGGGTCTTTTCAAATAAGTCAGTTCTTCGCATCAGGTGGCCAAAATATTGCAGCTTCAACTTCAGCATCAGTCCTTCCAATGAATATTCAGGACTGATTTCCTTTAGGATGGACTGGTTGGATCTCCTTGCAGTCCAAGGGACTCTCAAAAGTCTTCTCTAACACCACAGTTCAAAAGCATCAATTCTTCTGTGCTCAGATTTCTGTATAGTCCAACTCTCACATCCATACAAGACTACTGGAAAAACCATAGCTTTGACTAGATTGACCTTTGTTGGCAAAGTAACATCTCTGCTTTTTAATATGCTGTCTAGGATGGTCATAACTTTTCTTCCAAGGAGCAAGCGTCTTTTAATTTCCTGGCGACAGTCACCATGTGCAGTGATTTTGGAGCCCAAGGAAATAAAGTCTGTCACTGTTTCCATTGTTTCCCCGTCTATTTGCCATGGAGTGATGGGAAAGACTAGAGATCTCTTCAAGAAAATTAGAGATACCAAGGGAACATTTCATGCAAAAATGGGCTCAATAAAGGACAGAAATGGTATGGACCTAACAGAAGCAGAAGATATTAAGAAGAGGTGGCAAGAATACATAGAAGAACTATACAAAAAAGATCTTCATGACCCAGATAATCACGATGGTATGATCACTCACCTAGAGCCAGACATCCTGGAATGTGAAGTCAAGTGGGCCTTAGGAAGCATCACTACGAACAAAGCTAGTGGAGGTGATGGAATTCCAGTTGAGCTATTTCAAATCCTGAAAGATGATGCTGTGAAAGTGCTGCACTCAATATGCCAGCAAATTTGGAAAACTCAGCAGTGGCCACAGGACTGGAAAAAGTCCGTTTTCATTCCAATCCCTACGAAAGGAAATCCCAAAGAATACTCAAACTACCGCACAATTGCACTTATCTCACACACTAGTAAAGTAATGCTCAAAATTCTCTAAGCCAGGCTTCAGCAATACGTGAACCGAGAACTTCCAGATGTTCAAGCTGGTTTTAGAAAAGGCAGAGGAACCAGAGATCAAATTGCCAATATCCGCTGGATCATCAAAAAAGCAAGAGAGTTCCAGAAAAACATCTATTTCTGCTTTATTGACTATGCCAAAGCCTTCGACTGTGTGGATCACAGTAAACTGTGGAAAATTCTGAAAGAGATGGGGATACCAGACCACCTGACCTGCCTCTTGAGAAACCTGTATGCAGGTCAGGAAGCAACAGTTAGAATTGGACATGGAATAACAGACTGGTTCCAAATAGGAAAAGGAGTAGGTCAAAGCTGTATATTGTCATCCTGCTTATTTAACTTATATGCAGAGTACATCATGAGAAATGCTGGGCTGGAAGACGCACAAGCTGGAATTAAGATTGCTGGGAGAAATATAAATAACCTCAGATATGCAGATGAGGAAAAGGAGTAGGTCAAGGCTGTATATTGTCACCCTGCTTATTTAACTTATAAGTTAAAGAGTACATCATGAGAAATGCAGGCTGGATGAAGATTGCCAGGAGAAATGTCAATAACCTCAGATATGCAGATGACACCACCCTTATGGCAGAAAGTGAAGAGGAACTAAAAAGCCTCTTGATGAAAGTGAAAGAGGAGAGTGAAAAAGTTGGCTTAAAGCTCAACATTCAGAAAACTAAGATCATGGCATCTGGTCCCATCACCTCATGGGAAATAGATGGGGAGACAGTGGAAACAGTGTCAGACTTAATTTTTTTGGGCTCCAAAATCACTGCAGATGGTGACTGCAGCCATGAAATTAAAAGACGCTTACTCCTTGGAAGAAAAGTTATGACCAACCTAGATAGCATATTAAAAAGCAGAGACATTACTTTGCCAACAAAGGTCCGTCTGGTCAAGGCTATGGTTTTTCCAGTGGTCATGTATGGATGTGAGAGTTGGACTGTGAAGAAAGCTGAGCGCCGAAAAATTGATGCTTTTGAACTGTGGTGTTGGAGAAGACTCTTGAGAGTCCCTTGGACTGCAAGGAGATCCAACCAGTCCATCCTGAAGGAGATAAGTCCTGGGTGTTCATTGGAAGGACTGATGCTTAAGCTGAAACTCCAATACTTTGGCCACCTGATGCAAAGAGCTGACTCATTTGAAAAGACCCTGATGCTGGGAAAGATTGAAGGCAGGAGGAGAAGAGGACGACAGAGGATGAGATGGCTGGATGGCATCACTGACTCGATGGGCATGAGTTTGAGTAAACTCCGGGAGTTTGTGATGGACAGGGAGGCCTGGCGTGCTGCAGTTCATGGGGTTGCAAAGAGTCAGACACAACTGAGCGACTGAACTGACTGAATTGAACTGAACTGATTGAACCAGATGCCATGATTTTTACTTTTCTGAATGTTGAGTTTTAAGCCAACTTTTTCACTCTCCTCTTTCACTTTCATCAATAGGCTCTTTTATTGTTCTTCGCTTTCTGCCATAAGGGTGGTGTCATCTGCATATCTGAGGTTATTGATATTTCTCCTGGCAATCTTGATTCCAGCTTGTGCTTTATCAGCCCAGTGTTTCTCATGATGTACTCTGCATAACAGTTAAATAGGCAGGGTGACAATATACAGCCTTGATGTTCTCCTTTCCTGATTTGGAACCAGTCTGCTGTTCCATGTCCAGTTCTAACTGCTGCTTCCTGACCTGCATAAAGATTTCTCAGGAGGCAGGTCAGGTGGTCTGGTATTCCCATCTCTTTCAGAATTTTCCAGAGTTTGTGATGGTCCACACATTCAAAGGCTTTGCCATAGTCGATAAGGCAGAAGTAGATGGTTTTCTGGAACTCTCTTGCTTTTTCGATGATCCAGCGGATGTTGGCAATTTGATCTCTGGTTCCTCTGCCTTTTCTAAAACCAGCTTGAACATCTGGAAGTTCACAGTTCACGTGCTGTTGAAGCCTGGCTTAGAGAATTTTGAGCATTACTCTACTAGCATGTGAGATGAGTACAATTGTGCAGTAGTTTCAACATTCTTTGGCACTGCCTTTCTTAGGGATTGGAATGAAAACTGACCTTTTCCAGTCCTGTGGCCACTGCTGAGTTTTCCAAATTTGCTGGCATATTGAGTGCAGCACTTTCACAGCATCATCTTTTAGGATTTGAAACAACTCACCTGGAATTCCATCACCTCCACTAGCTTTGTTCGTAGTGATGCTTTCTAAGGCCCACTTGACTTCACATTCCAGGATGTCTGGCTCTAGGTGAGTGATCACACCATCATGATTATCTGGGTCATGAAGATCTTTTTTGTATAGTTCTTCTGTGTATTCTTGCCACCTCTTCTTAATATCTTCTGCTTCTGTTAAGTCCTTACCATTTCTGTCCTTTACTGTGCTCATCTTTGCAGGAAATGTTCCCTTGGTATCTCTAATTTTCTTGAAGAGATCTCTAGACTTTCTTATTCTATTGTTTTCCCTCATCTATTGTTTTCCCCCATCCTACCCCTTTCCATTCCCTCAGGCTCCTCACTGCTCTTTGCTGACCTGTGGCTGGGTCCAGGAGTCCTACTGTGGCCTTTTCAGTTCTAACAATACTGAAATATAAAATATCTTGATGATAACCTTTCTTAGAAGGTCACAGAGGGTCAGGCAGGTATTCAGAGCTTTATAGACCTCTCCCTTTGACACTGATCTGCTGGAGAAGGGAGAGGCTACCCACTCCAATATTCTTGGGCTTCCCTTGTGGCTCAGCTGGTAAAGAATCTGCCTACAATGCAGGAGACCTGGGTTTGATCCCTGGGTTGGGAAGATTCCCTAGAGAAGGGAAAGGCTACCCACTCAAGTATTCTGGCCTGGAGAATTCCCTGGACTGTATCATCCATGGGGTCAAAAACCGTCGAACACGACTGAGCGACTTTCACTTTGACATAACAGTATTTGCCTAACTTTCTAATTTGCCTGGCTTCTCCCAAGGCCATGTTTAATTAGACAGATATCTTTTCCTATCTGTGCTATGATACCCTGGCTATAAGCTTCCTAGAGGACAGGAATCTGCCTGCCAATGCAGGAGACTCCAGAGATGCAGGTTCGATCCCTGGGTCTAGAAGACCCCCTGGAGTAGGAAATGCTAAACTATTCACATACTCCCCCATGCCTTGTACATCTGGTTTCCCCTGCACATACCCCACCCCCAACCCCAGTACCCTCCTTCTCATCTTCCCATTGGGGGACCTTCTCTGGCTCTAATTGTTGCTCATGGTACCCCTCTCTAAACTTCATAGCACTTCTAGACCACTGAGTAAATGGTCTCCCCAATTGCAGTCATCTCTTTAAAAGCCCTCACATCTATATGCTAATTATTTTTTTAGATCTGTCTTTCCTCCCTTTGAATTCCTCAAAGCCTGGGGTTTTCCTTGGGTCCCCGTACTCACCACAGTATCTGGCACAAAGGAAGTATTCAACAGAGACATTTCCATCACTGAGTGAATGAATGAAAGAAACAGTCTGAAGGCCACCAGTCCTCACTTTTGTATGAAGAT